GCCGAGCAGGGAGCCCGATGTGGGACTCGATCCCGGGACCCTGGGATCATGACCTGAGCCGAAGGCAGACGCTTAACGACTGAGCCACCCAGGCGCCCCACAACCACAATACTTCTAAGTTTCTCTGGGACACGGGTCAAGGGCACAGACCAACACACATTCATGCCAAGGGCACCCCAAGAAAGTGAGTGAAATAGAAAGTAACTGGATAGGCATTAATCAGAAGACAAACAATATCCTGCAACATCCTTCATTCACTCTGGTTTGCACATGACCTACAGCTATCTCCCTGGCCCATGGAGACACAGGGGTCCCCCATCCATTGACACATTCACCAAATCAACACATATTTCCAGACACCTGCCACATACCTGATGATTCTAGGCACTGAGGACAGAGCAATGAACAAAAGAGACACAATCCCTCACTTGTGGGGATCACACTCCAGGGGGGACAGAGAAGAGATGACCAAGCAAACAAAAACGTATGAGGCACAACGTAAGGAGGAATGAGAGTAAAGGGAAGGTGATGTTTTACGTAAGTTGGTCAGAAAAGGCCTTTCTTGTGATATTGGAACTTAGCACAGACAGGAAGGATGGAAGGAAGGATGGATGGATGGAAGGATGAGTGGACGGAAGGAAGGAAGGAAGGACGGATGGACGGATGGATGGAAAGAAGGAAGGAAGGAAGGAAGGCAGGAAGGAAGGAAGGAAGGAGGTGGGGAGGGGAAGGAGGGAGGGGAAGGAGGGATGGGAGGCAGGGGACAAAGGATTTCAGGTAAAAGAGTATGTCGGCCAGAGAGTAAGGGCTCTGAGGCAGAGGATATGTAGTAGGCAGATTAACTGGCTCCTGAAGAATCCATGTCCTGATTTTTGGAGTCCAGAATATGTTACATTACACAGCAAAGGGGAATTAAGGTTGCAGATGGAATTAAGGCTGCTAATTAGCTGACTTTAAAATGGAAGAGTATCCTCTATTTTCTGGGTGGGCTCACAGCAATGGAAAGGATCCTTCGAGATGGAAGAAGAGTGTAGGAAGGCAATGTGACTGCAGAAGAACGGACAGGGAAAGCAAGGCTGCTGGCAGTGAAGATGGAGGAAAGGGGCCACAAGTTTAAAAACCTAGGGTAACTTCTAGAAGCTGAAAAAGCAAAGACACAGATTCTCTCCTAGAGAATTTCCAAAAAGAAATGCATCTGTGCAGACACTTTGACTGTAGCCCATAAGAACCATGTCACACCTGGGACCTGGAGAACTGTGCGGCAGTCCACCTGTGTCGTTCTAAGCCGTGAAGTGTGTGGCAATCTGTTACAGTGGCAGTGGGCACTACAGCGTCCCCGGCCAGGCTGAGAAACACGGGGGGCGCGATGTGAGTGGAGGGGGCGGAGCAAGAGGAAGCGAAGAGGGGATGTGGGAGAGAGGAGCACACCATGGAGGACTCTAGAAGCCACCTGAAGAGGTTTTAGCTCCGGAAACCTGGGTGGCTCAGTCGGTTAAGCGTCTGCCTTTGGCTCAGGTCATGATCCCAGGGTCCTGGGATCGAGCCCCGCATCCAGCTCCCTGCTCAGAGGGGAGTCTGTTTCTCCCTCTCCCTCTGCCTCTCCCTGCTGCTTGCACTCTCTCTTTCTCTCTCAAATAAATAAATAAACTCTTAAAAAAATAAAAAATAAAGAGGCTTTAACTCAAAGAAAAATAAGCCGTAGACAGTTTTGAGCAGAGGAATGGCGCCCTGACTTGCACTTCCTAAGGATCACACTGGCTGCTACATGGAGAACAGACAATACAAGGGAAGGTGTGGAAATGGGTGCGCCGTACAAAGACGGCTGAAACGATTCAAGATGGGGTCTGGCCATTTGGACCAGGTGAGATGGCAAAGGGGGGGAAAGAAGTAAGACACATGGAAGAACACCGGCAAGGACTCCCATCTGCTTTGTTCTTAACCTGATCTCTCTTCTCTGTCGGTTGCTAGCATCACCCAAAGTTTTTTGCTCTCTCTAAGCGGAATATATCATGTCTAAAGGGGTGCTGCATTGTGAACATGCGAAGTCACATACTTAAAATGAACACACAAGGGCGCCTGGATGGCTCACCTGGTTAAGTGTCTGCCTTCGGTTCAGGTCATGATCCTGGGATCCTGGGATCAAGCCTCCCATTGGGCTCCCCACTTAGCAGAGTCTGCTTCTCCCTCTCCCTCTGCCCCTCCTCCCCTCTCAAGCCCTCTCTCTCTCAAATAAATAAAAATCTTTTAAAAAAATTAAAAAATAAAATGAACACACAAAAGGTACAAATGGGTATTTGGATTCCTACACATACCAATTAATCAAAATCAGCTTTTTTCAAACATTTAAAAAAATATGACCTATTTCAAGACCCAGACGTATATGCGTGACAGAAACCTATTTCTAACCAATGTCTATCACACAATCGGTGGGAGATTTTTGCTGTAATGTATTCATTACAGCTAACTGAGATTTTCAAACTGAGATAACAAACTGAGATTTTCTACTTTATTAAAAAAACTACTGGTACACCATCAACGCAGGTAACCATTTCAAGAGCCCCGAAGCCTTGAACACCCAAGGACACAGAGCCAATCCAGGAAGCAGATATTGAGGCATATAGTGCCTATGCTCACCCACAGAAATCAGATTCCTGAAGTTCTCCAGCATCACGTCTCCGTACAACTTCCTCTGGGCGGGGTCCAGCAGCCCCAGCTCCTCCTCCGTGAAGACCACCGCCACGTCCTTGAACGTCACCGTCTCCTATAACAAGCACAGGCAACCTCAATCTTGCACCGGGTGGCCGCTGGGAGTGGGGCAGCATTGAGGAGGTGGAAAGGGTGGTGGGAAGTGGTTTCAGAGTTTGAGGGACTCAAGTCCATCGGCAGGCTTCCAGGCCCTTCTCCTCCTACCCTGCCAATGCCACACACTGAAGTTCCTTCAAGGATTAGACAAGGGAATACCTATAGCCTTTGGAACAGGACATGGCACAGAGTCGGTGCCTAACAAACATCTGATATCAATCGTATTATTTCTTCATGTTGCCAACATCAGTACCTTTTTCCTCACATTTTGTGGCTCTGTGTTATCCCAGAGAACAGATCCTCTATCCTTACCTGTTCTGAACAAATGATACTTAATTTTACATATTTTTCTCATTATAACCCATCCTGAAGTACGTCATTTTACGTAGATCTTGTTGCCCTGCCTGAAGACTTGAAAATAATTGCTAGAGAAGATTAAAAGGTCAAAAATGGGCACATTTAAAATTATGATCATATGAGGATAGATTTTCTTCCCAATCTTTTTCCTACTTCCCTAATCTTTCAAGGGAATATGACAACCTGGGTTCTCCATACAATGGCCAAGAGCAGGTTATATGTTTTTCTATGGTTTTGGCAATCTGATTTGGAAGAACAAGTTGTATTAGTATTCCCATTTATTTGATTGTAAATTAACAGAACTACCTTTTCAGGGGCGCCTGGGTGGCTCAATTGGTTAAGCCTCTGCCTTCAGCTCAGGTCATGATCCCGGAGTCCCGGGATCGAGCCCCGCATTGGGCCCCCTGCTCAGCGGGGAGCCTGCTTCTCCCTCTGCTTCTGCTGCTCCCCCTGCTTGTGCTTGCTCTCTCTGCCAAATAAATAAAATCTTAAAAAAAAAAAAAAAAAAGAAGAAGAGCGCTCCAGACACACACGCCACAGGGCCCAGGGCCCGAAATGAACTCTGTCTTCCTGTCTACCTCTTTCACTCGAGCATAATGCCTCACATTCCTGCCCTTGGTTTCTTGTGTGAACCTGAGCGGGTCTCTCATATTCACATGTTTAAGATGAAGATAAGGCCGACACCTCCTCCCTCAGCTGCTCTGAGGAGCCAAGGCACAGAATGCAAGTCACTGGCCGATACTAGGACCGAGGAACGGGGAAGACGGAACCCAGCTCTCCCTGAGCACAAGCCTCCAGAAAGATCTGTGTGAAGCAGGTCTTCCAGCCTGCTCTGCCTGCAGTTAGATATTCCACCTAAAAAACAGCCTACCTGGCACATATCAAATGTGAAGACAAAAAGCTAGCAGACTGTTTTCAAAGCTGATGTGGGGGGACAAGGTTTTATGTCAGAAAGTGGTCACCAAAGTGCTGCTTGAGACAATAAAATCCCTAAACCGTGGACATGTCTATGAATGGAAAGGAGTTAAAGATAGAAAGATACATCGATTCAATGGGAATGGGATGCAACCGTAAAAAATGAACATTATTTAACATTAAAGGGAAAAAAAAAATCAGAATTTAAAATTAGGTGTAGGGCGCCTGGGTGGCTCAGTTGGTTAAGCGACTGCCTTCGGCTCAGGTCATGATCCTGGAGTCCCGGGATCGAGTCCCGCATCGGGCTCCCTGCTCAGTGGGGAGTCTGTTTCTCCCTCTGACCTTCCCCCCTCTCGTGCTCTCTCTTTCTCATTCTCTCTCTCAAATAAATAAAATCTTTAAAAAAAAAAAATAAATAAAATTAGGTGTATATTATGAATACAAATTCGGTTATGCATGCCCACAAGAGTAAGAGTAGGAGAAAATCGAAACGGCTCATCTGTCAGTCAGGAAGTAACGAAGTGGGAGAATTGCTCATTTCTAGTCATTTTTTTACTCCGTAAGATAAATAATAATAAAACAAAAACCAAAAATACATGCAGAGTAAATTCAAAGGGGACAAAGTAAGACCCTGATGCAAAATAGGTCCTCAAATGCCTGTTGCTCTGCTTGAGTCGTCCCCAGAAAAATGTGTGACGACCTGAGGAATGAGATGGAATTTAGAAAGTGAGAAAGGCAAGCCCTCCTCACCTTGAACATGGTCCTGTGTCCTCCTACTTCCGGGCGTGTGTAGAGTCCTGAGTTGCACAGGTAAGAGGAAGGTGGAGCTGCACCTGGCGGGGTGCCTAGGAAGGCAGAAAAAAAGGCTTTAAAGGTAGCCCGGGCTGCTGCTCACCTACAGGGACGATGACTATGAACCCGTACATGATCCGTACACGAATGTTCACAGCACCGTTATTTGTTAATAACCCTCGTACTGGAAACCACCAAGATGTCGACCTATGACCTATGCAGGAATGAACAAATTGTGGCAAATCCATACAATGGAATATTATTGGCCAATTAAAAGGAAGGAGTACTGATCACACTACAGCATGGATGAACCTTGTAAACACTGCTGAAAAACACCAGTCACAAAAGATCAGATACTGCAGGATTCTTTTTCTATGAAATGTCCAGAAGAGGGAAATCTATGGAGACAGAAAGCAGGTTAGTGGTCGCTGGGGTATTAGGGGAGAAAATGGGGCGTTAACTGAAAATAGGCATGAGGAATCCAACTGGGGAAACAAAAATGGTCTAAACTGAATTATAGCAATTGCTGCACCACTCAGCAAAGTTACTAAAAATCATTGATTTCATGGGGTGCACCTGGGTGGCTCAGTTGGTTAAGTGCCTGCCTTCAGCTCAGGTCATGATCCCAGGGTCCTGGGATCAAGCCCCACATTGGGCTCCCTGCTCTGCGGGGAGTCTGCTTCTCCCTCTCCCTCTTCCCCACCCCAACTCACTCTCTCTCTCTCTCAAATAAATAAATTTAAAAAAATCCTCTCTCTCAGGGGCGCCTGGGTGGCTCAGTTGGTTAAGCGACTGCCTTCGGCTCAGGTCATGATCCTGGAGTCCCGGGATCGAGTCCCACATCGGGCTCCCTGCTCGGCAGGGAGTCTGCTTCTCCCTCTGACCCTCCTCCCTCTCATGCTCTCTGTCTCAAATAAATAAATAAAATCTTAAAAAAAAAAATCCTCTCTCTCAAATAAATAAATCTTTAAGAATGCCCACTAACAAGTGTATCTTCCCATAAGAAGACTTTATTAATTCTGATGAAAAAAAAAATAGTAACTTTACAATGGAGAAACCTAATAGAAATCACCTTAGCTAGTCAACAAAGGTGAGTTCACCAAAACAATGACAAACCAACATCCTTCGGCTACTGTTACGTTGCAATGACAAGGATGCCTCAGTGCTTCTGTGGAATCCCTGCCAACGACACAGAACAAAACCTAAATGTGTATACATCAGATAAACCCCAAATGAAGAACTTTCTCCAAAATGACTTCCCTCTATACTCTTTAAAAAGCATCAAGAACCGGCTCCTGGGTGGGTGAGTCGATTGGGTGTCCGACTATTGATTTCGGCTCAGGTCATGATCTCAGGGTCATGGGACTGAGCCCTTCTCAGGCTCCACACTGAGCACAGAGTCGGCTTGAGATTCTCTCTCTCCCTCTTCCTCTGCCCCTTCCCCCACTTGCATTCTCCCTCTCTCTAAATAAATAAAATCTACAGAATAATAAACAAATATTGCTTCAGGAACAAGGGCACCTGGCTCAGTCAGTACAGCATGCAACTCTTGATCTTGGGGTCACGAGTTCAAGGCCCCACACTGGGCATAGAGCTTACATGGAAAAATAAAAAGTTAAAAAAGAAAAGCATCAATGAAAAAGACAAAGGATATGGAATGCAATCCACGTTAAGGAACATCAAGTGTGATGAAGTTTTTGTAAAATGTTTATAAACAAATATACAGCTTAAGGCAAAGCATAAAATTGGGACTTTGAACTCGGATGGGGGAGGGGAGAGTGGTTATAAGGCCTTTAAATGAAAAACAGAACAAAATTAACAGGACTGTGGATTACATAACAGGATATTATATAATGTTTTTCAGCATTATCTAACAGGTAACACTATTAACTACTATTAGTAATAACTTACTAGATAGCTAACATCTAATAGATAACTAATAGATACTATTACGTAGTATAATATCTAATATTACCAACTAACTGGTGCTAAATTTCTATAATCAGCCTCTCCTAAATCCCTCTTCCCAGGATACCTCCTGATACCCATATGTGGGACTTCCTTTCTTCAGAAAGCTAAAATAAGCTGTCATTGAATTACAGGTATATTCCTGGTGTTATGTGGCTGACGGAGCCATAAAACAGGCAAAATGTAAACAATTGGGGAATTTGGTAAAGATTATATGAGAATTCCTTATACTATTTTTGCAACTTTTCAATGGAAAAATTTTAATTATATAAAAATAAAGTCTTGGGGCACCTGGGTGGCTTAGTCGTTAAGCGTCTGCCTTCGGCTCAGGTCATGATCCCAGGGTGCTGGGACTGAGCCCCGCATCGGGCTCCCTGCTCCGCGGGAAGCCTGCTTC